AATAATAATTATACATGATGTGAATGATGCAGCAAGAGTTGATTGATTGACCAGAGAACAATCACAAAATGTGAGTTGGAGAAGCGTGCGCGTTGAAAACGACAGCGAGAAAGAGAAAGAGAGAGTGAGAGAGGGAGAGGATACAAGGTTTAGAGAGCAGCAAAGAAATTATTTTTTAGTATTTAGAGGCTATTTTATATCGTTATTAAAGAGAAAGTGAAGAGACAGAGAGAGAGAGAGAGAGAGAAAGAGGGAGAGTTGGGGTTGAAGAAAATTAAATTTTAGCTTGCAAGTTGAAAAGAAAACAATAAGAACAAACGCTGGTATGTGACATTGAAACAATTTGAAGGAGAAGAAGAAGAAAACACAGAATGTCGCTAGTCGGTTCGCAACAACAGTTATTAGAAACGGTTAGCTTAGGCACATGGGTGGTGGTAGGAGGCGGGTGTTGTCTTTGAAATTTCAAAACATGATTCAAATGCCTTCAGCTCATTTTATAACGGATTTGTAAGTTTTTGTTAAAATTTGCTATAATTTTGCTCATTATATTCTTTAAATAATTTCATGTTTATCAATTGCATTTACCTAACACACATACGTAAACACATACACATGCACATGCATACACACACATGCACACACACATACACAGAGACATGGACAGACAGCCGGACCGACAGTTCGTTTCACAAGCCAAGCGAATTTTCCATTTTCTTTTCACACGAGAGACAACAACAACAACAACAACAAAACGACAACAACCAACAACAACAACAACAAGCGAAAGTTAAAATTTAATTTATCTAAAAGTACTTTTTGTGTTGTAAGTTGTGCCAAGTACTGATAACGTTTAAGGTGTGATAAACTCGTTTTAAAATTTAACAACTATTTAAACTATTTACTGCTAAAAAACAAAACGAAAAAAAAAAATTAATTATGAATTTAAAGAAAAATTTTATTATTTTTTATAAAATGCTTTCGATGTACATTTTATGATAAACACACACACATAAACCTACACACACGCACACACACACAGCAGCACACCCAGGACTTCAAAAGTACTTTGACATTTGATTTGACAGCAACAACAACAACAACAACAACAACAAAAGAAATGCTTTGCGATTACAATTTATTATTTATTTTATTCATATGTATATATATACGAATACGAGTATATGTATGTATGTATATGTATATATACATATCCATTTATGTATATATATGTATGTATGT